ACCCCCCTGTACCCGCGTCTCCGGGTCGTTAGACGAAACCCGCCCCGTGTCCGTCCGTCCCCCCGCAGCTCCGCGGGCGCAGAGCGGGCTGCGGGGATGACGAGAATCCTAGGGAAAAACATGGGAACAGGGGCAAGGATGGAAATTGTTACATAGTTAACTTTAAAGGCCGAATGGATTTTACGTTGAGGAGTAAACACAAAACCATCTACTAAAGTCAGACATGCCTTCTTTTTCAGGGCTAATGGAATGAGTCATCGACAGAGTGGATTATTTAAAGCACCATGTGAGTCTATAATCACGTATATATACAAGTTATTATATATTGGAAATCTGTCTCCTCCACTCCCTAGTCTCTTATAATCCTCTGACCAGGAACCAGGCAGTCCCCATGTGGAAATTTAGAAAAGAAAAATCAGTAATGCTCTTAGCATCAAACAATAAATCCTGAAGTTATTTGCCACCACATTTAATTAAATATTTTGAAAAGAAAACCCTTGTGATTGATTTGCCTTCTGTATTGATCCAGTATTGATCCTTCGCGTCTTGCTAGTCCAGCTGTGGCATGTGCTAAATGGCTGCGATGCCTAGGAATACCTTGTTATGAATTGCTCCTTAAAATTCACCGTAAAGCTTCCTAAAGGCTCAGCTCTATCAAATTTAGTTTGCTTACATGTTTAAGCATTCCATTTCCGAAAGCGATCTCCTTAAAAATTTTCTCCCTCACCTCCCCCCCCCCCCCTTCAAGATGTCCTGTTACTCTCTCCCCTCCGCCGCCCCACGCGCAATTCCTCGCCCACCCGTCGCTTTGATAAAGCAGGCAGCACATTAACGCTCCTGTTAGAAAAGTCTTCTTCGGGGATGGAGTGGGAGGCTGCTGCAGGCGGGGAGCATCCCCCAGCTCCCCCACTTCCCTGGGCTTTGTCCCCTGGCGGACTCCGCAGCTGTGACCAGGGGGAGGAACAACTCTTTTAAACAGCAGAGACCGACGTGCGGTGTCGTGGACAGAGGCGTATTAATCCTCTGCCGCGCCGACTGTTATTTGGGCGACAAACGGGGGGAACGGGCTGCGCCGGCACCGCGCCCGCCGCGGGTGGGGAACCGCAGCCCTGCACCCTCCGCGGGGGCTGCGGAGGGTGGGCCACTTTCTCTCCACCGACGCCTTCTCCCTGCCTTTGTACGCACACGGGTGTGCCCGATTTTTCGCTCGTATTTACCAATAAACACAAAGCTCTCGTAGTTATTTATAGCCCGTGCTGTCCGAGACACCCTCCAGGAGAGTTTGACCCGGCTATGTTTCTCACTTATTTCTGTACTTATCTAGACCGTATGTTACGACCATCTAAAGTTTCTCTTTATTAGTGTTAGGAACATAACCCAGCACATTCATTTGGCGTTGTCGGTGCTATGCATTTGGCATGCATTAGCCGAGCTCGCAGAATAACTTTCTGGTGGCTGGAGCTATGCAGGGAATGTGTAAGAGCCTTCGTTTGTGACACCGGTATCGCCCAAAGCCCAAATGCAGAGCTCCATTTATCCTAAAGGTCCTGGAGACTAAAGATGTCAGGACCCTCTCTTATATACACTGAATAAAAGCCATGGCACACTCAATGGCTTCAGGGATTCAGATTTCTATCAAGGGTTTATCAATCCTATTTTAGAGCAGCATTGATCTTTGCTGAGAATCTAATCCAAACTATGAAGTTCAATAACAACTCCATTACCTGGGAGGTTCTGATTGGAGAGTCGTAATGCCAAGATTAGTGGCAGCCAGCCTGACCTGCCAACATTGATTTGCACTGTGAAATCACTTGTTAAAAAAAGAAAAATCGTGTTTGCTTGGTAATTGAACAATTTTATTTTTTTTCTCTCTCCATCAGATCAACTCATGCATTGATTAGGTGCCTGTTTATGTTAGAGGTTATTTAGTGCGAGGGGGCTGATTGTCTCCCCAGTTTGTTTTTATTTTAGCTCTGCTCGAGCCTACATTTTTAGAAGTAGTAGTCTGAAATCAATGCCTCTTTTCCCTTTTTAGCCAGGAGAAATCGGCCCCTTGCAACACACAAAATGGATGGTTTCACAGCCAGTTAGCCTTAAGTAATAGATACATTGAGCCCATCCTAGCA